TTCTATCAACACAATATAATATCGGCCCACTCCCTTGGGTACCTTCCCCACAGCGGTAAAAATTTTGAATAATTAAAACTGTCATAACTGATGAAATAAATATGCGATTCTCTTCAAATTTCACACTTCCCAATATTTAAACTAAGACAAGAACTTGAGTGAAAATGGAAAATATCAGTCTATTCCGTGTGGTACCTCCACAACCATGGCGTCAAACAATGCGAAATGAAATCCGATCTCTTCAAATTTCACACATCCCAAGTTTGTTCCATCACAAGATCTTGTGTGAAGATTATAGATATCGTCCCAAACCCTCCGGGAACCTCCCCCAGAAAGTTTCACAGTTTTCAATATTTATAGCTCTCATAACTTGGGAAGAAATCAGCGATTCTTTTTCAACTAAGTGTTGTTATACATTTCTCCCAAATGTTCGACTTTCTTTAAATTTTGCACATGCCAATATTTTCATTGGTATTATATGAAGTGGAGAACGAAGTACTATGGTTGCACTATATTTATATAAGGCAAAGATCGGATACCAAATAGACAATATTGGTCCACTACTTTGGGGGTTCCCCCATAAGGGGACAACAATCAAAATAAATTTTAAAAGCCGACATTGGCTCAGAGTACACATCTGTCGGCAAAACCGACTGATACTTTTTAGCTTGTTTAATAGTTTGTAATGCTGAGTTTTAATCGAGATCAATAAGTCTCACGTTCTTTCCTAAAATGAAATGGTTCGTGAAAGAACATTTCCCCTTTTTCTAACCAGAACAAAAAAAGTGAGTTTAGGAATTTTCTGATAAAAACCAGTAAAGAAAGTCTTAAAGTCGGGCGGGGCCGACTTTATGATACCCTACACCATTTTGCTAATTTAGTAAAGCTTCGCATAACAATTAACAGTTTTTATGGGAGAATTCAATCATAAACGCTACGATTATAATTATAATTTAAAGTTCAAACGACCAAATATGCCGAAGCATTTGTATCTTTTAAATTCGGACTTGTATTGTCCATTTGGTGCACAATTAATTTGAAATCGTATAAAAATATATATGGGAGCCATATACAAATCGGAACCGATCTCGATAAAATTTGGCAAAGATATTTCTGAGCTGTATTTCATGTATTTCCCTGAATATCGTAGTTACGGAGAGCATATTACGACTGCGAAGGATAAAAATAACAAATCGGATGAACAATATATATGGGAGCTATAGCTATATCTGAACCGATCTCGATAAAATTTGGCAAAGATATTTCGGAGCTGTATTTGATATATTTCCCTGAATATCGTTGTTACGGAGTGCATATTACGGCAGCGGAGGACAAAAATAACAAATCGGATGAACAATATATATGGGAGCTATAACTATATCTGAACCGATTTCGATCAAATTTGGCATACTTATTTTCAGATCCAATCTGATCGTACGTGCAAAATTCCATATTATTCGGACTGATATTACACGTTTGGTGCACAAAAAAAAAGCAAATCGGACGAAGATATATATGGGAGCTATATCTAAATTTTGACCGATTATCTCCAATTTCAATAGGGTGCGTCCTTGGGCCAAACAAATGATTTGTGCAAAATTTCATCTGGATAGGACAATAAATGCGAACTGTACTTTGTTTACAAAAATACATGGACAGACGGACGGACGGACATTCATAAATCAACTCAAAATGTGATTCTATGCAGATCATCAAAAGGAACTATGGGTCTATCTCGTTTCCTTTTGCCTGTTGTGTAGGGTATACTGAACTACAAAAATTCCTCATGAAATACATCACTTCAATTGTCTCTCCCTCCTGTAAGTAGTTCTCCCACAAAGTTGCAACAATGTTTCTACATTTCATGACACATCATTAAATTCAATTTAATCTCAAATCGTAAACTTCCTGGCCAAAGCATTGCATCCTGTGGTCGGAGATAGGAATAAAGAGAGCTAAAAAGAACCATTACAAAGAACTGAGGACTTTTTGGTTCATCTGGTCTAATGCCTCATTTCCAGGAAGTGTTGTGCACACCAATGGAACAAAAGTTACAACAACAGTCCGAACAACGCCCAACTAACAGAAAAGAACGATAGATGATTAGAAAAAGAGAAGAAGAAGGAAAAAACCCTAAAGCATTACGCAACTACGTAAACTTTTCATATCTGTTCATGAAGTTTTCCATCAAAAAGATGAGGATGATGACTACAATGATGTTGTTGTTGTTGTGAGAGTGATGTCCGCACAGCATCAAACATCATTCATGGCATGACATGAAGACTGGTCACGGCAGCCAAGTTGGGCTATGGAAAAAATTGTTTGCAATTAATTACTTTTAAACGATACTCGTTGAATTGACCGGGTTAGTTCTGGGGAAGCGAGAGAGGGCGTCTGGAGCAGCTTGTAAATTCATCAAACAACTGTGTTGACTACAGCCTTCAAGGTATTCTGTCATCTGACATAAGCTGTCGTTTTTTTGAATGTTGAATGTTTTTTCAGTGTGTGTTTTGTACTGCTGCTTCGTCCGTTTATGGTTCCTCATCATCATCATCAACATCGCCATCGTCATCATGGCAATGACTATAATGCCTCCTAAACACGCAATGTTTTTTTGAAGAGAATACAGCATGGAGTAGGAGATTATATCCACAAGTATTTGTACAAGGGGATATACTTATCTATGATTTGGGTTACCAAGGAGAGGATGTAAGCAATGAGTCAACTTTTGGGATCAGTTGCGGTGTTCCATAACCGGACCTCTAGAAAACAGCTGGGGAGAATTCTAGTTGCATGGTGTAAATGTCTGGAAAGGTTCAGAAGACCTCTAGATAATCTTCTAGACATTTAAGGCTTCTGATAATGACATTTTTAATTTTTCTTGGAAAATTCTTCTATAAGGTCACTAGAAATTGTTTTAAGCTGAGAAGTTTTCTGGTAGTTCTGAAAATCGTCTGAATATATTTCTGATAAGTCTGTTTAGTATACAAAAACCTTCAAGAGAAAAAAGATCTTAAAACAGTTTTCCGGGTTTTAAAGTGGTTTGGAAAATCTTAGATTTGCTCGTTTATACTGGCGAGTGAAACATACTCGCATGCTCGTAGAATTTCGAATGTTATCGATTAATAGAGTATATTTGTTTTCATTTCTACTCACAGGGGTACTGCCACTCGAATTCGAACGACATTTGCTCTTTACTCGAATTCGAGCGAGCATTTCGAAACTATGCTTCTAGATAAAAGAGTCCCTCTGAAAGAAATTCTTCTATAAGGTCACTAGAAATTGTTTTAAGCTGAGAAGTTTTCTGGTAGTTCTGAAAACCGTCTGAATATATCTCTGAAAAAAAAAACCTTCAAGAGAAAAAAAATATCTTAAAAAAGTTTTCCGGGTTTGAAAGTGTTTTGGAAAATCTTAGATTTGCTCGTTTATACTCGTGAGTGAAACATACTCGCATGCTCGAAGAGTAGAAGTTTTACATGAAGGTTACTCTTCAAATTTTTGTTTTAGTTTGGAGTGGTCGCATGTTACTCCTGTTTTGGAAGTAAGAGTGGGACTCAAAATGCTCGAAATAGAGTAAGAGTTCTTGAATGGAAGCAAGGGACCCGTGGATTTTGTGTAGGACAACGAAAGCAACAACAATACCATAGCCTTTGTTTGTACAGCTAGGCGAAAATGCACTTCAACCTTTTAGCATTTTATTCTCACTCGGAAACTAACAAAGTCTTTTCGTTCTTATTCGAATGTTATCGTGTTACTCACAGGGGAACTGCCACTCGAATTCGAGTAAAGAGCAAATCTCGTTCGAATTCGAGTGGCAGTAACCCTGTGAGTAAAAATGAGAACAAATATATTCTATTTCGGAACTATGCTTCTAGATAAAAGAGTCCCTCTGAAAGATCCTTATGTGTAGGGCGCCCGAAAGGCCTTTCTCATTCAAAATTCTTTTCAGTAAAGAAGATGTGTGGAAGTGCTTCCAAGAGATCATTGGATGTTCCCACAGGTGTAGAAGATATCAGCTCTTTATTATTCGAGCGCCATAGAAAAATGGAGTATTCTCGATTACGTTTTTACATGCAGGAGTACTGCCACCCGAGTTCGAGTCTATAGGAGCTACGCTTTTAGGAAAGGGTGTTCTTGAAACTCTTTCAGATAAAGAAACCCTCTTTATGTATATAGAGTCTCTGAGTGATCTTCCTAATTAAAATGACCTTTGAAAGTTCTCTATAAAGAAGATCTTTGAAAATTGTTCTTCATCCATGCAAAAAAGCTTTTGATAGGTCTCAACATAAAAAAGCTCTCATGAAGTTCCAAAGGGTGTAAGGGACCCATGAAAAATCTCTTATTTTCATAAAGGCTCTAAAAGATATTCTAGAAATTAAATTCCATTGGAAGATATTCTATGCATAAAACACCTCTCGAAGGCCATCCAGACATTGAGAGCCTCTGGAAGGCCCTCTAGCATCAGAACAATGCTGGAAGATCCCTTAGGCAATGAAGGTTTCGGAAATGTCTTACGTGCATTAAAGACCTCTGGCAGGCTTTCAATCTTTTGAGAGATGGAAGTTCTTAGAATGGTCTTTTAGTCATAAGAGACCACTTGAAGTTAAGACCACTTACCGATCTTCTAGGAATAAGTGACCACTTGATAGGAGGTTTGGAAGATTCTAGAAGGTCCTCTATGTATAAACATCTCAGAAATATCTAAACTATCTACCTACTCATCTATCGACATATCTGTACATACATGAAAGAGCTTTCGTCTTTCAGATACCTGTGGGACTTCTTCTTCCTATAGAATACATCCTGGAACTATCCTATGTACAAAAACTCCCTTTTACGCAAAGAAGATCAATTGAAGATCTTCTTTTTAAAAGATGGTCGTAGAATATTATCCTTTGCTACGTCTCTGTTTTTTCTCTTCGGCCTTTTAAAGCCGACATTCAAGACAGCATAAATATTTGCCATTGTTTTTATGAGCTTTTAAGGTTTTATGTACTCACCTAAATTGGCATAAACATTGTCCGACTTGCTTTTTATCGAACCGCTTTGTTGGTCCCCTGCAGCACCAGCGCCTCCTATGATGCGGATGTTGTTGGTGTTGTTACTGGCGGCTGATGATGAGGTTGAAGATGTGGCGGTTGATTTGGGCGAGGAACTAATGTTGCTGCTGCTGTTGGCATTGCCTGTTCCATTGCTGGCGTTTGCGGATGAGGATGCTGCTGATGTCGATGTTCCTGCCGCTGCTGCTCCCGATGATGCCATTGGCAATGATGTGGTTAATGCAATCTGTTGCTTTCTACGTAATTCTGCACTTTTTGGTGGCGGTGGCCTTGCTGGCTTATTCATTTCGTGACTACGTTGCGTGTCCACCGAACGTAGAGGAGGTGCCGGCGGTTTGGCCGTGACCACAGCCACTGTTTGGGCCGTAACCGAATCATTTGTCTTTGTTATGTCCTTGACCACTTCGACAGCTGTGGTATTAATGTCTATGGGATGGATGATGACTAAACGTGGCTTGCCCGAGACTCCCACCTCCTCGCCCGTGCAAATTTCCGAATAAATACTTTCCTTTTGTTTGGTTAGATTCTCGGTAGTTTTACTGGCTCCCATGCGTAAAAATTTCTTAATGGAAAACTTCGTTTTTGTTTTGGCTTGATTGGCAGAGGATTTCTTATCGCCTGCCTGTGAGGAGGAGGAGGAGGCGGCGGCAATATTCGTGATGGACATGGATGTGGTAACAGTTTTGGTGGCGCTGCCACCAGGATATGAGTCGGCAGTGAGATTTTCTTCAGAGGCAGATAGGGTTTTGGGGGTACGTGGCTTGGGTTCAGGTGTAAGCGACTGATTGAAGCTGATCGAGGAGGTGGCATTCTGAAGTTGCAGATTCTTAATGGCATTGCTGCGTTGAGTGGCAAAGGTGTTGAGACTTCGGAATTTTGGATTAATTATGGCTCTTTCGCGTTTATCTTTTTCGCGTATGGCAGCAGCGGCTGCAGAATTTTTACCCACCGTCCCAGCACTGGTCATGGCGCCAATTTTACGGGTATACATTGAGGAGACTGGGGAGGAGTTACCAAAATCATTTCCAGCAGACGAGGATTCTTTGGGTTTCTCTTCCTTAGCAGCTGCTGCTGTAGTGTGTGTCTTGTTGGCTGTCTCATTACTTTGTTGCTTGGAAAATTCCTCCTCCATGTTGTAATCAGTCTCCGGAGATGATGGAGCACTTGATTTGGTTTCAGTGGCCGGAGGAGGATTGGGAGCTTTGCCCTTTTTCAGTTTATTGTCATCCTTTGAGGAGTCGTTGTCTTGATTTTCCATGGATTTGGACATGATCATTTGCAGCTGTGAAATGACTTGCTGTTGATCATTGGATTGCCCTTGCATGCCACTAACAGCACTGTTTGAGGTTGGTGGACCCCGTTTTGTTAGGAAAGTCTTCATGGGACTGGGAGTGGGTGAAACCAAGGGCTTAACTGGCAAATCAGGTTTCTTCAAGAGTATGGGAGGATGTTGCTTTTGCAATCCATGCAAAAACGAAGGTCGGGCATCAATGACCTTTGTTGTGGGAGGTGGTGACTTAGGTAAGGGCGGAATTTCCTGCGGCTCTTGATTTTCAAGACTACCATCCGGATCGGCACTACCATCCGGTTCGCCATGCAATTCCCTGGACTTTTCCAAAATAAAGGGAGCCGATTTTTCCACATCTTCGTTAAGCTTAATTTCCCTCAAAGTCATCGGGGGCTTCTGATCGGCAACTTGAATATCTTCATAGTCGGAATTATTGGTACTGGCACTTAGCTTCTTTTCAATTCTCAGGCGATCTCTGTCCTTTTCGGCCACATGAATATTTTTGTAATCATGACCTATGCTAATGCCAATACCCGAGTCCGATTCGCTGCGTATCATGTTGTATGAAGTCTCCTCGTCACTGCTGCCATCAAAGCTGCTACCTGTAGAGTCCAACGCATCATCGGAGCTACATTTGGTGACAATCAAACCATCCGATGTAATTTTACTGGTCATAAAGTTACCCTCATGTAGATTATAGGAGGCCGCCCGGGTCTTGGAGGAGAGCAACATATCGGTAATATATTGTGAGGAAGAGAAAACACTCGAAGAGGAATCCGTTTGATCCGCCTTCGCCGAGCTTTGGGCCTTAGCCTTGTCTTTATTTTCATATTTTCCGTCGGGTAAATTTTCGTAAGTCTGTGATGTCTCCACCACATCGTAATAGGCCGAAATACCATTTTCCGTATCCGAGCAATTGCTATCCGAATCGGAATATTTATTGAAGACATTCACTTTGGGTTTGACTTGATCCTTTGTGATAGGCGGGTTACGCACGATTGGCTTCTTAAGGTCGAGAAAGGTTTTGTTCTCCAGCGACTCGGCTAAACTGCCAATTTCAAATTTAATTTTACCTGCAGAGCTGCTGGAGGTGGAGGCAGTGCCGCCAGCTGCTGCAGAGGCCTTTTGTTCTGTGGCCAATTTCTCGGTTTGTTTCTTTTCCAAGGTCTCGGAAATTTCATCCAGCAGAGATTTCTCCATGGCCCTTTCAATTGGTGGACTATCCTTGCCATCACTTTCCATGGAGGGCAAGGGTTCACTAATGGATTTACTGGACAACATCGAACTGCTTGCAGATGTAGTCGTGGATTTCTTCACCACAGTTTTTGTATTGCTGGTTGTTGTTGTAGTCTCTGTTTTGGTTTCAAATTTGGCTTTTACAGCTGTCTTGCTGGTACTTGCCACCGTTGATGTGGTTGAGAGCTGACTCTTTGTGCTCACCTCCTTTGTTTCATTGGCCCCAAATGGCAAAACATTTATTTGCAATGTTTGTTTCTTACCCTCCTTATCCACCTGAGGGGCACCCAATTTTAAGGCAGCAAACGTTTTCTTGATATTCTCTTGCGGATCTCCTAAGAGGTTGCCATTATTCATATTAAAATCGGTATTGGCCCGAGTGATACGCTTCAATTCAATGGTCTCCTCATCATCGGAACCCGATATTTTATCATCATCCTTATCATTGGCTAAATTCATAAAATCATGATCATCATCCGAATCATCGGACCATTCTCCCCCGTAGCCAATAACCTCGGAGATATTTTTGGGAAAATTCACCTTGTGCGACTTGTGTTTCCCCGTTGCCTTTCCTGCTGCCCGCTTGATGATACTCTTTGTCGGTTTTTTATTCTTATTTGGATAATCAGTCTTTGGATCGGTAGTGGACTTGGAGCTGAGGCTGCTACTTAGACTCGATGAAAGCGCTGTGTATTTGGAACGTGACGCCGCCAAGGCAGCAGCAGCTTGTTTGTGTTCATCTTTCGATTTGAAACAGTTCGAACACAAATCTTTTTTCCAGGCATTCTGGGAGAAATGTGTACATATGGACGAAGACATGTTGGGGTGGTGTGTGTGTGTGTGTTTAACGGACGTTACACCTGACGTTTTGAAGGGGGTTTTCTTCTTATTCCGTTCGATAAAAGGCCATAATCTGAAACGAAGAGTAAAAAATATATAAATTTTTATTGGATGATTATGCAGATATTCAATAACTTTACAAAATACAGTTGATATTTTCTTCAAAAATCATCACTGATTGAGTGCAGGATAGATGTACCAAAGTGTTTTCGGATATTCGAACTGAAATGTTACGAAAAGTTATAAAATGGTACGAAACATATACAATGGTACTATTTGGATACCACAGAGCTTAAACTTGACATTTGGTATGAGAACCAAGGTTGGAGCTTAAGACTTGGCATTTGGTATGAGAACCAAGATATGAAGGTGGTTTTTGGAAATGTGTACTAACTGTGCGTTCGGTAGTAAAATGGTACTAAATTTGGAACAGTTTGGTATAGAGTGAACAGATGAAGCTGGAATTTTGAAATTTTGTATTGGAGTCCCTTTGCAGTTGGTTTCCGATAAAGATATGGTTTTGGAAATGGATGCTATAAATAGTACTATATTATGTACCATTTGATATTGAGTGAATGGTGCCATGAGATCTGAAATTGTGTATTAGGGTCACTGTTCACGTGTTGCCTGGATATGGAGGTGGTTTCGGAAGTTTGTATTATAATTTTACGAAAAGTACTAATTGATACTACATTTGGTATTAAGGTATAGATTAATTTCTGAAAAGTACCAAATGGTACTTAATTGGGTATTGGGTGAAAGTATGAGACTGTAATTCTCAAATTTAATATTGAGGTCTTTGTTGGTATCTAGGATTGAGAAATGGAGGCGGCTTTGGAAATGCGACCTATATTTGTACTAAATTTGGTATTGGGTTAAGGAATAGAACTGAAATGTGATATTGAGGTCTCTCTTGGTATCTGGAATTGAGATATGGATGTGATTATAGAAATGTGTATTATAGTCGTACGAAAAATACTGAATGGTACTATATTTGGAATTTGGTAAGGGGATAGAGCTGGAATCTCGAAATTTGAAATTGAGATCTGTGTTGGTATCTGGAACTGAGGTATGCAGGTGGTTTTGGAAGTGTGTGTTATAATTGTACGAAAAGTACAAAATGGTACTATATATGATATTGGGTGAAGGGGTAGAGCTGAATCCTGAAATCTGATATTGAAATCTCTGTTGGTATCTGGAATTCAGGTATGAAGGTAGGCTTGCAAATGTATAATATACTTGTACGAAACTTACTAACTAGTACCAAATTTGGTATTGGGTGAAAGGATATAGCTGGAATCCCGAAAGTTGATATTGAGGTTGGTATCTAAGATTGTAATAAAGAGGTGATTATTAGAAAAGTTTGCTATAATTGTACGAAAAGTACAAAATGGTACTAAATTTGGTATTGGGTGAAGAGATAGAGTTGTGAAATTTGTTATATAGACTACTAATGATATCTGTGTTTGAGATTGGGAGATTTTAAAAGTACTAAATCTTACTAAATGTGGTATTGGATAAAGGAATAGGGCTGGAATCCTCAAATTTGATATTGAGGTCTCCGTTGGTATCTGGAATTGAGATATGGGGATAAATTTGGGATTGGGTGAAGGAATAGGACTGGAATTCTCAAATTTGGTATTGAGGTCTCTGTTGGTGCCTGGAATTGAGTTATAGAGGTGGTTTTGAATATGTGTACTATAATTGTATGAAAAGTACTAAATTTGTATCACTGTTGGTGTCCAGGATGTAGTGATGTAGTTTGTTTTGGATATGGGTGTATTACTAAATTTGGTATTGGGTGAGGAAATACAGGTGAAATTATGAAATTTTATATTGAGGTCGCTGTTGTTTTCTAGGATTTACATAGGACACAAAAATTGGATGTGGGTCCATTGAAGTAGAAGATAAAAAATTCCCTATATTCTTTCCGAAAAAGGAATAGCTTGAATAATATATTAAACCCTGAAAGTCTGAATATTTAGTACGACGTATGACGTCCTGATTAAAAAATGTTGTCAAACAGAACAAATTGTGCATTTTGAGAAGTAAAAAGGCTTAATACGATTTGTTGAAGCGAATCTTAAAATGTATGGTGAACGAAGTAGCGGGTACTTGATAGTCTACGATATTGCTCTAATTGTCCCGGAAAATTTTAAATTCTCCTATTATTAAAAAATCCGCGATTATAACGCTGATAGTCCGCTCAAAATATTTTTAAAAACTGGGTCCCCGATTGAAATATGGTCCTTGAAATATATTTTATAATTTTCTTGAAAATCACCTCCGTTTTCTTGGTACATTCCACTAAAAGTTTTTTCACAGTGCATTCCGCTTAGACAAACGTTTGCTAATTTCTGCAATTGCACCATTATTTTGGTCTGAAAAAGTTTCTACATTTCAGCCGTTGTTCGTGTTTCTTTCATTTGCAAACTGAAAACATTTCCATTCAATTCCAAGTGTTCCATGATGCAAATACCAGCGGCTACTGCATTTGGAGATTAAACGATATTTCAAATTGCACGTTTGTTTGTTGCTCCATTTCTCACACCACTTTTGGGTCATCGTCTCGATTGTGTGGCTGGCTACCGTAACCGCTACTTGGGCTGAATTGGCTGTCTGTCTGCCTATTGGTCGGTCGGTCTATAAACGATTAATTAGCACAATTGCATAACGTCTGGAGTGAAAAATCTTTGACCTCATACGGATGTGTGAATATGAAAGAGGTCGTCAATTGAAATGCAGGTTTCTGTGATTGGAGCTTGGTTTTTTTGAGTGGAGAATGGTAGGGGAATCGAATGATCGAAACATATAACTCACAGAAGGTTTTGGAAATGTAAAATTTTAAACATAAAATGTAAGGAAATTTACAATTTAAGAAAAAATAAGAATGCTAAACAAGAAATTCTATAAAAATTTGGTTCAAAGACTGCAAAAAAATGGAAAGAAAATTTGGATTCTGAATCACTGCAGATTGAAATGAAGATTTTAGGTTTGACAATTTCATCATTTCCTGAGCTAACATGTTATAGAAGCCCTGTCAGAAATTTAACAAATTAGGATTGACTTGTCGTCCCTTCGGTTTTTTCTTCAAATCATTCACCAACCAAAGAACCAAAGAATTATATTAATTTCGTTTCGGTTTCTAAGTAAATCTTCCCCCAAAAAAAACTTTAGAACTTTAACCAATCATAAGGAAATTTCCCAAGAAAACTTTTTTTTTCCCAAAAAAAAAAAATTAAAATAAAACTTTTTCTGTTCTCCCTATCTTTGAGACGGTTCATTGGAACTGAAAAGTTTGGTGTTTGTACACCACATGTCCCCTCGAAGAGGTGGCTTTAATACAGTTACATTACCATGCCAACCAAGAAAGTCAAACCACTCATTCGTTCATGCAGTCACTCAATCACCCGCTCGCTGCCTCCCTCATCGGTCGTCTGTGACCATCTGAATAGAAAGTAATGAACTTTTCTTTCAATCTTCTTCTGGCAGAAATAGAATGTTTGAATATACATTTCTGCTATTGTTCAAATAAGACGAACGAAGAAAGTTTGAGTACTTTTTTCGTATTCTCATTCTAAGAAACCAAAGAAGACCAAGTTAGAATTTGTTTAATTTTTGTGGAAAAGATTTCGAAGAAAAAAACTGAATTCTTGGAGATAATTATAGATTTGTTGTTGTGCCAAGAAAAATTGGTTACTTTTCACTTTTAACTGTGTTTCTTCTCTCTAATGAGTTGGATGGGGTTTTTCTTCCCGTCACTGAAATGGAAATTTAATTGGGGGTTAGAGCCAGAGAAAGAGAGGCGGGCGATGTAGTTCACATCGAGAAATTTGCATAGAGGATTTGGGTTAAGACTTGATTGGAGAATGTTTAGTTTTTGGCCTAGTTAGGGAGCAGAAGAAATGGCCGCCTGACTGAAACTAAAAATAATTGTTTTTAATTAATGGTTTTGCTCGGGGGTCATTGGTATCTGTAAGATGTTTTGGAAAAACGTTTTGGTAAAAAATTGTTAAGAAAGAGCCCTACAACACTGTGTTGAATAAATGCTTTTGAAAGGAGCTCGTGATTTTTTTAAAAATATTTTTGAAAGACTCCTGGATTTTTAAAAATATTTTTGAAAGACTATAAATGTTCGTAGATTTTTTAAATATATTTTTGAAAGACTCGTGAATTTTAAAAATTATTTTTGAAAGACTACTGGATTTTTAAAAATATTTTTGAAAGACTATAAATCCTCGTGGATTTTTTAAAAATATATTTGAAAGAATAGAAATGCTCGTGTATTTTTTAAAAATATTTTTGAAAGATTAGAAATGCTCGTGTATTTTTTGAAAATATTTTTGAAAGAATATAAATGCTTGTGGATTTTTTAAAAAATTTTTGAACGACTATAAATGCTTTTGGATTTTTAAAAATAGTTTTGAATGAATATAAATGCAAGTGGATTTTCTAAAAATATTTTTGAATGACTATTTTTGGAAGTCTATAAATGGCGTAGATTTTTAAAAATAGTTTTGAAAGAATATAAATGCTAGTGGATTTTTTAAAAATATTTTTGAATGACTGTAAATGCTTTTGGATCTTTTTAAAATATTTTTGAACGACTATAAATGCTTTTGGAATATTAAAAAATATTTTTAGAAGTCTATAAATGCTCGTGGATTTTTTAAAAATATTTTTGAACGACTATAAATGCTCGTGGATTTTTAAAAAAATATATTTGAAAGACTACAAATGCTCGTGGACCTCAAAATATTGGTCCTGGACGTAGAATGTTATATATGGATCTTTTTATCTCGCCGATTTGAGTCAATCTAGCTATGTGTGTCCATCCATCTGTTCATGTGCATGGAGGTAGGGGTAGGGTCAGAATAGAAACCTATTATTTTCAGAGATGATGGTAAGCAATTAACAATTAAATAACAATTGACACGGAATTTTGTTTGAGGTTAGAGGTTTAGACTGAGGAATGTAAAACTTACAAAATTCTATTCGTTAAATCAAAGATTTAAATGATTTTTTAAAATGTCCAATAATATACGGAATATAGAGGGTGAGATAAAAAAACTG